AAAAAAAAAAAAAAAAAAAAAAATGCTAAAACACACCCATATATTATAAAGCAAAATGCTATCAGATTTAGGAAAAGAAAAAGCATGCATAAATTTATAAAGTCAAATATAAGTGTATTTTTACATAAACACAAATGATCTTTATCATGAGAAAGAGTATAAAGAATCAAAGTGGAAACTATTGAACATACTAACTTTAAGATACAATCCTCACTTGATAATTATTCCAATTTATCACTCAAATAATTAAGAATCTAAAGAGCTCATATAATTTATTTTACTTAATTAAATGTCAAAACATAGTTTGGATTTTCTTCATGTCATCTGGGAAAATTAATAACAAAAGAAATGGATAGTACCTTTCAGTCAGATTAGCACTGGTGTTGTGGAAGAGTCGTGAATCTAGAAAATAAAAAAAGGCAAAGAAAAAGTTGAAACAAAAGGATTTTACCTTGATGATAAGTAAAACACTAAAAAATTAAGGATACAGCAAAAGTAGAAATAAGTGTTTGAAAGTCAGTGCATGGCGTGTCCTCCTTCAAAAATTTTGGAATTAGAAAAAACTAAAAGCTTTCAAATAAGAACAGTAGTACACAGTGAATTTCCTATGAAGAAATAAATTCCATCTGGGCTCAAGTTAATTGCAAAAACCCAACACCAATATCTATTTCAAATGCTTTAATAAATACAAAGCCTGTTTAATTTCTGTTATCAGTGTTCAGCTTTCACAGGCCATTTTCCTGAGATGTCATCACAGGAAGAATATAAATGCCATATTTTTCACTGCTAATGATGCTTTTACATATTTCTATACTAAAAGTTTAGTATTATCTGATATTTTCCCGAGAAGTCCTACCCCCCCCAAAAAAAACCCAAAATCAGCTGGCTTAAAACCCCTTGGCCCTGTGACTAATTTAGGGTAAAACATCTCAACTTTAGTTCCTTATCCATAAAATGAGATGGACGAAACAGCTGGCAAATTTGTTTCCAAGTAGGCAGTAATAAGATGAATGAGGCAGATGTATTCTTCCTCCAACCCTAACGAAAGGATTACAAGTGGATGTATTAAAATTCTAAGTTTAAATCTGATAGGGCAATACACAGAAAAAAATGGAATAGTATATCTTTATTTTGATTTATTACATGTTAATAATATTTGAACTACTGAGGGCTTAGGTGAGAGCAAGGCCTCAATTGCAAAATGATAAATGGCTTTTAGTTTTAATGATAATAAATATAGAAATAGTTTCCATGTACATTGCAGGTAGAAACAGCTTGTTCAGTAAAAGGTGGACAGAACACCTCTTTCCCTTTGAGACTGATTTCAAAATTTTAGAAATTACTGCAAAACTTTAATCTAATACAGATTTTAAAATGTTCCACAACCAGATTTCCAGCACTTGAAACTTTCAAAACTCCTAATTGATTGCAGATTCTGGCCAGAAATGCAAAACTGCCATTACTACTAAGAAATTAGTCAACAGGTGGAAATACTGCATGAGAAACTTCAGAAGTAAATATAACTATTCAGAAGATTGCCTTCTATATTTTTTCCTACTTTGATAGTCTTCTATTTCACTTATTATACATGGCTAAAAACAGTCATACAAGAGTAAGGTAAGCAGGGTTAGAATCAGGACATCTGAGATCCACCCCCAAGTTGTGTACCATCAACATGTGGAACTATCAGCATTTTAACCGTATAATACCTTAGTTAGCTTCAAATCAATCAATCAATCAATCAATCAATCAATCTGGGCCAGGGATTTAGCTCAGTGGTTCCACCGCCTGTCTTGCAAGTGTAAGGGCCCGCCAAAGAAACAAACAAACAAAAAAAACACTTTTCCCATCCAAGGGCCCTTTGATGATATAAGCTGCATTAAATTCTCCCAGGCTGCCAGAATTCTGCTGTACCTTTAAACAAATATTTAGTAAGTTTAATATGAACAAAATAAAAATAAAACACATAAAACAGAAAAATCCTAACATGAAGCCTGGGGAAGAATAAGCTACTAAGAGATTTCTGTGGAGTGAACTGAAAACAGTATGTTATTGGGTCCTGGGAGAATCCATGACTCCTATAGGATTTTCAAAGCTGAAAAAATTTTAGATCAGATACCATAGTCTCCTAGACATGGTTCTAAAAACTGGTCAATTCACCGAAGCAAAGTAACATTAAGCCTCCAGAACATTTTAGAACATAAAACAATCAAAGTTACTTCTATGACAAAATTACAGATAGAAGAAATTTGTTATCTGTCATTAAAGTAAGGCCATAAAATACTATTGCTGGTAAATAACATGTTCAATCAGATTTAGAGAGTTTTGCACACATTAGAGCTTCCTGGTAACAAATTTGGGAAACATGGCATATTGAACACTGCCTTGAAACTTTACAATGTACACACATTAACATTTTAAACCTGCTTAACTCAAAAGAGTTTACAAAATTTACCAGGCTACAAACCAACCCCTTCTTTTCCCACTACTCAATTCTCACATTTTTGAGTTGTAAAGAACAGATTTGGGAAATGCTACACATTAGATACAAAGCTTTTATGCCTTTAAGATTTTATCATACTAGATTAGTTGAGTGACCAGTGCTGTTATGGGATTACAATTCTACATTAATGGTATAAGAAATACAATTGAGGGGCCGGGGTTTTAGCTCAGTGGCACTGCACCTGACTTGCAAGTGCAAGGTCCTGAGTTTGATCCCTGGTATTGGAAAAAAAATAAGAAAGAAATATAACTGAGAATGATTTATCATGACTTGGCTATTTCCTAGACTATTACTAGTATTTTGAGATAAAACAGATTTGAGAACTTCTAAACACTCAAAATTGAAGTGGATTTTTTCAATTTTCCACCTATTACAATTATGGTAATATAAACATCTTTCTGTATCATTTGTCAAATCTCTTTAACAGTAAAAAATATACTGAACATTAATAAGACCTCCAATAAAAACTAAAAAATATACTGAACATTAATAGACCTCCAATGAAAACTAAATTAATTAAAATCTGTTTGTTATTTGCTCATGATACTTTCCTGTAAAAACAAATATTCCAGCCAGAGTAATACTTGCATACTGCTGCAACCTTCAATCAAGAGGTAGAAGGGAATTAAGTTAGGGTGCTCAATATTATAGATATAATTGTTTGAAAACCATAACATTACAAAGTTTCAAAGGAGAAAAACTATGTAAACCTTATCACCTCATAAGGCCTAAATTTAGTTTTTTTTAAAAGAAATGGTCTGAAAAAATGAGAGAAAAAGAATTGCATTAGCTTTTAAATATCACAGATGGACTAGATAAGTGTCTCATAAGTCAAAAATGAAACTGATATTGTCTAATGAAAAGTTTTGTGAAATTAATCCTCAGTCTTAGGTTACAATGTGAGCTGGGACTACTATATTCTTTAATGCCTTTGAAGATATGTTCTGAAAAAGCTACCTTGGGGCCTCTGGGTCAATCAGTTAGTAGTATAATGAAGTAAAAGCTATTTTATCCAAATCAATGTTTAAAGGCATGCATGAGGTCAAACCATTTGTAAAAAGATCGAATATAAGGGATAAAAGTTAATTTTAACTTTCAGTGTAAGTTTTTAGTACCAAGCTTACAGCGTTTTCAGAGCTTGTCAGACCCTGGAGAACAGCCATGGACATCAAAGTTGCTTACTTACTATGAAACTCCTCCTCATTATCACTGGAATAAGAAGAGCCAAGAGAAAAGAGTTTTGGATTTAAGGAGGAGTGGAGAGATGCTGATGGAGGAGATCCGCCTTGCCAGCTCCATCTGTGGCTGAGCAGAGAAGTGGGTCAACAGAAAAACAGTGCATGCACAGATTCTGCCAGGATGAAGTAAAAGGCACTTCCACCCCACGTGGGAGTAGAATATCATGGCCTATGGTGAGCTAGGAAAGGCTGTCTAGGTGAGCAATGTTAATTTATGTTTTCCTGAATATCGGGAATTATAATACAGTTCCTTAAAAGTATATGGAAACAAGAGTATGGTTTTCCTCAGCATCCTATACTGTACTTCACTCTCCCTCAACTTCCTCATTTCCACCTCTGCACAGACAATGTACACACATACACTGGTGACTGTTATCTTTCTCATCTTCACCTTTGCTTTCAAAGCTAGACTCATGCAACTTACTGCTCACCTTTGGGCACATATTCCACAAGCAACTGAAACTAAAAGAAGTTATTTGTTTTTTTTTCAATGACCCAATTCTCCTACATTCTTTCAATTAGTGAACAGAATCTAACATCTAACTAATTACTCAAAATAGAAACCTGGGCACTACCTTTGAATCTCTGTAGCACACATTGCCTAGGCTTCTCGAACGTCGTCTTGATCTCTCAGAACCTCAGGTTTCCCCTGCTGTGGCTGCTCTAAGACACCATGTACCATCATGGGAACCCCTTCTGCTAATTCCTAACTTCTTCTCCTGGACCTGTAGTAGGTCTAAAGCCATGATGGCAAGTGTTTTAGTGACCGAGGGCCCAACTACAATCCAAAACCTGCTTATTTATCGCAAAATGCCAACACTGAACTTAAACCTGAATACTGCGGTTATGGTTTAGAAAAAACAACTCATACATTAACGTTTTGTCTTAAAAGAAAAACACAGTAACAGAGCTTTCAATGAAATCAACAGCTTTTTATGAAAAAGTAAAGTTTGCATTTGGCGTGCTTTCGCACAATTAGTGTGATCTTTGTTGTCGTATGCATGCTGATAATTTGTCAAACCTTGGCTCATACTTTTGTCAATTTGAAATCAACACATGCAGCACTCAGGTCATCTGTTAGTCTGTTTCTTGTATCAGTTTGATATAATTCAACTGAAAACAGCTGCTCACAAGCATAAAATGATCTAAATAAAATTAAGAAAAGCAATCCCAAGTGCTTTGGCAGAGAATTCCACACTTTAAGGACTTAATTTTCACAACTAGCAACTGTGCTGACTTCTGTCATTCCTTTACATTCCTATTCTTATCTTCTCAAATGCTGCACACAGGTCAGGCCACGTGAAAGCTCGGATAAGTAGCGGCTACTGAGTAGTGGCACAGCGTATTATAGCCCGGGTCAGCTTCTCCCTTCTGAGCATGTACGTGGCCCTTATGTGCACTGTTATCCTATGTGAGAGTGCCGGTATGATGCTGCAGTGACTTGACTCAGGTGTTGTGTCTGGGTTCACTATCACTGATCTGAACTGTTTTAATCTATTTAAGTGATTCTATTGCCTTTTGGAAGAAGCCCAAATTCCTCAGTTTAACTTTCCGTATACTAATATACCCAGCTAATTCTTAGTTTCTGTTGGTCTAAACTTCAATATTATTTCTTATTATTAAAAGCCCTGAAGCCCAACATTTTCACAACACTGAATATTTACTTTAGTTACTGCATTTACAATTTTCTAGTAGATTCATTTGTTTTGTTTTCTTTTTTTTCTTTTTATTTTTTTTGGTATCAGGGATCGAACTCTGGCCCTTGTGCAGCAGGTGCTGGAACCACTGAGCTACCCCGGCCCTTGTTTTCTTGTCTATAGGTTGTAAATATGGTCAGGAAAAAAACTATATCTGTAAATTTGGTTTGGTCTAGTTTGGTGCATGTCAAAGGGAAGATACTCAAATATGCAATGGATAAACAAAGGAATAAATCAATTAAGACATGAGCCTTAACATCTGAAATGAAAGCACAGAACATGCTCTATGACTACTGACATGAAAGCCACTCCATGCCCTAGATCAGTGATGGCAAACCTTTCAGAGCTTTCAATGATAACGGTCTACTGTGGCACGCATGCAATAGGTTCACCACCACTGCAGATAAATGCTAAGTAATGTCAGACTGTTTGCCAGCTAGACACAATGACAAAAACATATGTATATTTGCTTTCTGGGCAGTGACAATCTTGTGCAAAGTAGAGATACCACTATAACATGTGTTCTGAAGTAATTCCAAATGTGAAGCCAACTATGGAAATGAAAATGATCTGCCTTATTATCTAGACTCCCAAGAACATTCCCTTCTTGTGTTAGGAAATCATGGATCATAAGGAAAACCTTATTATATGATTATCTAAGAAGTATCCCTGACATATGAAAAAAAAAACTTCACCATATATGGAAACTATGATAACAGTGACTCAATTTTATACTGAAAGTATATACTCATATACATACACATATTTAGGCCCCACACTATGTACATATATATTATCTGTTATATGCTAAGTATATATGTATATAATAGTCTTTTAGTTTAATCACAGTATCAATAAAAGTCAAGTTTTTTTTACTAAACTGTTCTGACACATCTGTTTATGATATTTTTCCAAGAACTACATTACAAAAAAGTATGTATTTCAGTAAATTTCCATCCCACTGTCCATAGATAGGAGAGGTGAAACACAGAAAAAACAGATGAAATGATCTCATTAGCACTGATGATTAATTTTCCAGAGGCTCACCCTGATTGTTGATCATACGGAGTATCTTTTCATTTACAGTAAATTATATATACTGTAAATGCTCTTAAGTTCAGTTATCAAGATGGATTTTGCTTTCTCAGTCTAATGCAAGCTATATAACTGCAAGCTAGTGCGCCCATTAAAATATGCATAAGAAACTTGGCAAAGTCACATATAGTGAGCGATGGTATAAGAATGAGCTCAAGGGTAAATGATATTTGCTATTTCTTGGTAATAATGAGCTATACAAAATGAAGGGGAAAATAAAATCTAATTAAGCGGTACATTAGGTCAAAACATCTAATGGGTAAAATTCTCCACTAAACATTATCATTACTAATGTACTTAAAGAGTTCTGGAGAAAAAAAAGAGTTCTGGTTACAGTCAAGTAGTTTCTTCATCGCTTGAAGCATCTTCTGGGTGGAAGCAATGGAATGTCTAAATACAGCATCATGGAAAGGAATGATCTGCAATAAATGGATTCTTCTGTATATGCAGATATGAGATTTGTGCTTACATTCTGTAAGAAACTATCAAAATTCCCAGCACGTTGTGAGACAGAAGCCCTAGGCACTCCTCTCTGATACAAGAAGAAATGCCATGAACACAAACAAGGCAGTCCTTCCAGACATGTCTCCTGATAGCCAGTGTACCGGCTATGCTGATTCTCTGAAAAATGAGGCAGCAAAATGTTTGTTGTGTTCCCACAGTGAGACAATTATCACAGCTTTCTGCCCTAAATAAGCTTCAAGCTTGAGTGCTTCCCACCCTAGAAAGTGATCAGAAATAGTTTAATCACCTACTTTAGTCCATATTTTCTTCTACATCAGTGAATACTGAAGATCCCAGCTTAGAAATAACGCTGAAAAAGTTTGTCAGTTCTTTCTAATGTCATAAATGACCCAACATGAGATTTCAGACAAGAGCTCAGTGGATACACATTTTCAAAATTACTCAAATGTTAATAACTGTGAAAGACTGAGGAAGAAGCAGTTAGTGATTTCCTTAGAAGCAGAAGATAGGGCACAGGCAAGTAAAAGCTGGGAAGCAGTCAGGTATGACTTCAGAAAGCATTGTGTTCCTACACAAGCATGCTAATAAGACATAGCCTCTTGCTAGACAATGAGGACCAGTTTTCTTGCTTCTGCAACACTGCCTGAAGTCTGGTCAGAAAAAAATAGGCCTTGATACTACTGTGGTTGCTGTGAATTATAGCACTCCATAAAGGTAACAAATACTCATTTACAATATGAATTATGCTGAGTAACTTAAATAAATCAAATTCATATTTAATCAATATCACAGCCAAAGTGACTGAGGCAAAGAATTTCTATAACAAAGCTCGAGTAACACAGCCACTAAGTGTGCTTACAGTAAAACATCAGTTAAAATAGTTCAAATTTATTGAGCACTTTAGGCTTTAAAAATTAATTCTAGATTTTTAATGATGGCATTGTTTGGCAAGGAAGTCTATGACCAAAGTTGAAACATGCAAAATCTAAGCCATTTAGAATTGGAAATATCAGTTGGTGGTATATTATGTAATATCCAGTTGTCCTGAGCTTTAGGAACAACCACTCAAACTTTAACAGAAGTATTAATCTTCCCCTTAATAGTAAGAATTTTAATATTACCAAAGATTCATCATTTTTCTAAAATGTAATAAATATAATTGAGAAATTTAAAAGCTGTGTATGGGGAAGGACTAAGGAGAAATAGTGACATCAAAAAAGTGTTGATTTACCTTCTAAAGGTAAGATATGCCAATTTGATGAAGTTGGACTAGTGATTATTCAAACTTGCATGAAGTGTACACCATAAATCAGAATGAAGACATTACACACTTATGAAGCGATTAAGCTCTTGCTTAAAACTCTAGACATCAGTCTACTACTGATTTCAAGTCTTGAGAGCGGAGCAGAAATTTCTAGCAGCAAGAAGAAAATCTCCATCTGCCAGAACCTTTAGGATATTATGTTCTGAGAGTTAGACACATAGTGTTTAGACAGTAACTGAAAACACAGTTGAAAAACATCTTGTTTTTTGGAGGAAAAATAATGAAGTATTTCATCCATGAGGAAAGAGTGTGCCACATAATATAGCAAAAAGATCTCTTGATGGGACACATTTTGTTGGCATGGATTATGTGTTGCTATAGGAATAGACTCCCAACACTTGCTGGTCATGGTACACAGAACTGAGACAGCTCACACTGACTGCTTTCTTGTTGTTCTTTGACTACTGAGCTCCAGCAATCTGGCTCATCAAATCCAGTATGACTGCTTAGTTATAATTCCCTTTCTTCATGATCAGAACCTCTAACTCAAAGCTAAATCAAACCAAAACCAAAACTAAACAAAAACAGGAAAAGCTATGTTTGTCACAATTCTGTGAAGTTGTATCTGCATCTCTAAGAATATGTCACCATTAGGCACACATTTGTATTTAAATGTCATCATATGGAAACAAAATTTAACAGAACCATTTATATGCCTGAACGCCACTGTGAAAGAAAGATGAAGTCTCTAGTAAGCCATGAAGTGAAAAAAAATCCCATTAATGTGGTACAGCTACTTCTGTCTCCACCTCTTAGAAACTGAACTATATCACCAGACACTGAAGAAACACACTCGTAGTCTGTGTTTACTCCCTTGCTTCAATACCTAGAAAATCTGTATTTGGGGGAACAATTTGCATTCTTTGGTTTTCTGAGACAAGGTCTTGCTATGTATAGTCCAGGCTGCTCTTGAACGTAAGACTCTCTTGCCTCACCTTCATAGGGCTGGGACTACAAGTTGCTTTTCTGAGATAAACATTTATTCAATTCAAACATGTTTTTATGCATCCTTGATTCATAAACCCCCAGCATGAATGGATACCACAACACCTCAACACACCCTTCAAATACAATTGATCTGAAGCTGAATACAGTTCCATTAGTTACCTTCAGATCTAAAACCTTTAGCACCTGCTCAAACACAAAATGTATCCCCAGTCTTTGTCCTTCAGGAACTGGACATGTTTTAAATGTTCAGTCCAGTACTCTATAGTACCCTGAGATCATTAAAGACAAACACCAACTTCAGAGGAAGAACTTCAGAATAAAGGAGACTCAAGAAACCTGATCACTTAATTTAAAATTTGAATAAGGTCTGAATATTAGGTAACAGAATTCTATTGCTATTAACTTCCTGATTTAGATTAGTGCACAATAAGCATTTCAGGGAAAAAAAGCTTTAAAAGTAGAGAAAGAGAGGCTAGCAAAATAAAGCAGCATGATAACATTTGGGGATCCATGTAAAGAATATAGGTAATTCTTCAAAAGAAAAAAGTGTTTTTTTTTTTGTTTGTTTGTTTGTTTGTTTGTTTTTGAGACAGGGTCTCACTATGTAGTTGAGACTGACTTGGAACTCATTATGTAGCCCAGGCTGGTCTCAAACTCACAGTGATCCTCCTGCCTCAGCCTCCCGAGCGCAGGGATTACAGGCGTGTGCCAACACGCCCGGCTAAAAAGTTTAAAACTTTGTGTCATTTACCCAAAAATATAATGAACTTAATTTATTAATGAGACTTTGATGTAGCAAAAGGAGATGATCCCAAAGCTGACTCTTGGTATTTTTTTCTATTTTAGTGCTTAACCATTTGTTCAGAGGAAGAAATAGGTAATTTTTGGAAGGTAATGTCATAAGGCATTAAAGTAAGAAAAATGACAGCAAAGTGCTTAGGATATATTTCATTTTCTAAATAGTAATATACTTACTGTCTAATCCAGGATGGCTGATTGTCATTAATGAGATGGATTTTGTCAATGGAGAAGAAATGGCTGATGTACAGTAATTAAATCCCTGTTGTTTAGATCTGTGACATGTCTGCAGTAAAAAAAAAACAAAAACAAAAAAACAAACCCCCCCCAAAACAGGTTTTCAGCACATGTTCTAATACTTGATAAGCACAGAATGCTAATACACAATACAGTAAAATAATACAGATTAAAAGGGAGGTGGAAAGCATGCTTCTCAGTCATATAGACTTGGATTCCAGTCTGCCTCTGCCACTTAACAGCTGCTCAACTTTAGAGAAGTTATTCTGTGTTGCTAAGCCTTAGTTTTTCCATCCCAAATAGGGATAATTTGAAACTCATCCTTTACAGTGGTTTTACATCCCTCAGCATTCAGCAACATTCCAAGATCAATAAGTGCTGAATAAATACCTCAGAATATAATACAATCCAATAAAACTAATTTCACTGAAGATACCAATCTGCCAATAGTACTTGTTCTTTGAAATTTAAACCCCTATAGAGATATAGTTAAGTAAGGTATTAGTAATATTGTTCTGATTTTAAAGAGCTGGAAACTGAAATCAAAGTAAGAAGTATTTCCAGATCATATATAAAAAAGCTGTAAATCTGGAAAAATAAAACCTAAATCTTTTTCATTTCTTCTTCTAAGATTAGACTGATTGTCCATGAGGGTGAGGATGACTGAAATGTGGTAATTTAAAGGCCTTAGTAAATTACCAACAGCTTCAAGGTCATGTAATAAAACCAACTACAAAAGTTCCCGCTACACACTCCTGAAAGACAGTTGTCACACCTTTGGTGATGAGGGCTCTTGCCCCTTTTTGAGAGAGCCCATTCTAAGTGTTAACCAGTAATTTTCATTATTAGTAGAATGAAATCTGTCTCCTTATGGCTTGACTATACTGAAAAGGAAGCACTGAAAATCCACTATTGACATTAATGCAAGTGAGCCAAGGACTTCTGATTATTTAGAGCTCCATGCGCAACAATGGAACTTGAGGCAAATAGTTGCTATGTTTCAAAAAAACTCTGAGGTCTGAAAAATGACCTTAGTGAAAGGCAGAGACTTTCAACAGGAAGTTGGCTATAGACTTGTACAGATCACACAGACACAAGCAGCTCAAATAGCCACTCTAAGGTTGTGTATTAGATGAAAAACCATGGATTAGCAGAGTTCTAGGAGGGCTATGCATAGCAAGGCATTAAAGTGTTGACATTTATCCAGAAATCTTGACTTAAAAAAAAAAAAATCGAATCAGGAAATCTATTTTAGAAAGGCATCACTTACTAAAAGACAAAGTCATATGTAAAATTTAGTCTAACAAATATCAAGTATCATTCCCAGAAAAATGCATCACACAAAAGAAATAAAAATATATCACACAAAAGACATAAAGAAGTACAAAGAATATCTACAAATATGCATAAAATATAGAAATAATAAAAATATAGAAGTATAAGGAAAACTGAAATGACCATTCATTAAATTTTTTTCTATTTTAAAGACATGGAAAGAAGCAGTGAGACCAGTCAGGAATTTTGAATTTAATACTGCTCAGCTACAAGTTATGCAGCATTAGCCCAGTCACTGACATGAGCCTGAAGCCCTCACACATAAGAGCTTGAGATGAATCTGAAGGTATACAATGGCTCCATGTCTATGATTTCCTTCATAAACCTATACTTTTTATAGTTTCCCTGAAAAGTATTAAAAAATGTGTATTTCTTGAAAATAATCTAAGGATGTTATACATGTGAAATGCCTTTTTCAGATTTTCATAGGTTTACTTACCTTTATCAACCCTGTAAATAACCACAAAATAGCTGTGTTTTCTTCTTTCTCTTACCATTAAGCTTAAAAAATTTAAATCACTTACTTCATTAAGTATATTCTCTACATTTTTTTTTAATAATATAGTAGGCCAAGTATTTTTTAGAAAGTGAGAAAGCTCTTTTAGACCTCAAATTTGATTTTCATTAGGCCTATAATATTCTCTTTATTCATCAGGCTTTGTATGAGTACAAATGATACATTCATTACTAAGACAATCTTTTGGGGGCTGGGGATTTAGCTCAGTGGTTTCGCCACTTGCCCTGCAAGCACAAGGACCCAAGTTCGATCTATAGTACCGGAAAGAAAAAAGAAAAAAGAAAAAAA